GTCTGCAAGTGTATGCGCGGGTTCCGGCCGAGGAACCCGGAGGCGTGGAATTTGAGGGACGGGTCGGGCGGGTGCGCCCGGGAGACCGATTTGGATTGCCCGAGGGACAAGTTTTTGAGGATGAGGAACATGAAGCTGCCGGAGAGCGCGGCGGCGGTGGTCGATAGGGGATTGGGGTTGAAGGAGTGCGGGGAGTTGTGCGCCGGGAACTGCTCGTGTACGGCGTATGCGAGCGCGAATGTCTCCGGCGGCGGGTCGGGTTGTGTGGTTTGGTTCGGTGGGTTGGTGGATATGCGGCAGTACCCGGAAGGCGGGCAGGACCTTTACGTTCGTTTGGCGGCTTCCGATGTAGGTAAGTTTTTTTAATTTTTTTTTTACTGGATTGGTTTGTTACCGCGCATTGTTTACCCCTTTTGGTGGTTGCTTTTCTGCCATTCCCACGCAATTTCCGGCTTGGTTTCACATTGCACAGGGTATTTAACTTAATTTAATTGTTTTATTTCATTCTTTAGTTTAGTTAGAGGGCTCATAATTCATAAATTCTTTTGAAATTTGATCGAATTGATAATGGAAGCATATCGAAGGATTGAGATGGGTCGGGTATGATATGAAAATTGAGTTAAATGAATAACGAATGTGAGTGGAGGGTTATTTTTAGTACAATTTCCTGATAATGAAGCATATCTATATATTATTACTGAATTTGAGTTTGGAAGGTTAGGATTAATTATTCCATTAATTATTCCCCTTGCAATTCAAGGGGTTGGTGTATTTTATTCGTTAAAATGATTAAGGGCATGATTTCGAAGATCGAAATCATATGAAACATTCTCAAATCTAACTGATTTGATGATAGTTTAGTCTGAAGATAAGTAAATATCTAAATATATGTAAGTTTCGAATTATATTAATAATGTATTTAGAAAATCTTGCTTAAAAAAATAAGAAATAATGGAAATTGAATGTAAGTAAAATAATTGGAACTAAAAAGAGGTGGATGGAATGATAGAATATAAAAATATTATTATTATTGAGGTCAAAGTGTGGGGAGTTTAATATTAGTTTGCAGGTTGTAAGCAAGATTTTCCTCGCATTTCGATTTGATTCTATTTGGTGATGCAAATCTCCATACAAACTGATAAAATAGTGGTCTCTCCGCTAACCATAATCCAAAATTAATTAACTAACAATAAAGTACTGATTGTTAGGTTTAAAGAATAGAAACTGCCATTCTCTTCTTCCTTTCTCTCTCTGCAATGTGACATGCTGGGCTCAGTGTTCAAAATTTCTAAAATTAGGTAGCTGTATTTTCATTTGTTTATCATTTAAAACTCTCTTAGCCACATAATTTTCCATTTTAACTTCCATTTCCAGATCGACATACTATGATACTAATGCCTGATGGTAAAAGACTTTGGAGAGTCGTAATCAAAATCCTGAAACATCATGATTTATGAGATTTTTTAGTTATAAGTTTTGATACTCGATCGAGAATAAATTTATTTTAATAGTTCGAGTTTTTAAAATTAGAAACATCATGTTCCATGGAGGACTATTATTACCCGTTACCAACGCTTGAGGATATTGTTAAACAGGAATTAGGTATTACCGTATACCTAACAACTTTTCAAGTTTCCATAAAACAAAAAAACTAAGAAAAGACCACAAAAAAATATCTAAAAGAAAAAAACATGAAGAAAACGAAAAGACCTTGTCAAATGTTTGCATTGAAAAGGGGCAAAGTGTGAAGGAAGGCTAAATGGGAACCAGCCGTCCACGTGGAACCCGAGAACCCCGGGTGTCTGCTTGTACAGCTCAGCACATTATTCACAGTGTGTTGTGGGACCCGGATCCGGGTCTAGGATCCGTTTTGTTCATAATCTATTGGGCCAGCAGAACCGTGGACGGTGGACCACCGTCGTGGTGGCCAAACAAACAAACATAAGTTCGTTAGTTCGTTTTCCACGTTGTCCCCCGCCGTGGGAATTTGCTATGTTGTTCTTTTACATGGCCTAGTGGTTCATAACAAGTTGTGGGTTATAGATAGGGATTAGTGAGGTTGAATCGGTTTATTTGGATCGGGATGATTACGATTTACGGGTAATGAGATAATGAATAGTAAAAGATTTCGAGTTAAACGTCTCGTTGAACGAACATTAAAAATTAGGGATGATAATTTTAACCCTGTCGTGGTAAGCCGACCATGAATCTCACTTCTTCGTCATATGATTCTTGGCCATGAATCATGGAGTCGTGGTTCACAAGAAAGAGCTTGCCGGGGCCCGCCCGAAGAAGTATGAACTAGGGTCTAGGGGAACAGTGAGTCTTCCCGGTTTCTCTCCGGTGAGATGGCGACGGCCGGGGCCCCATCGTCCTCCAACAACGCTAATTTAGGGTCGGCGATTTCCAACGTTTTATGGCCCTCTAATCTTGGTGTGCCGACAAATGTTGACTTGTTTAGTGAGGTTGGGTCCTACACTTTCCTTTTGCTAAAGTGAAAACTGGAATCCACCGTTCTGTCGACATTGAAGAAACCTTGAGCCATATATAATCTCTCTATTGCATTTTTTCATAAGAAAATCCCATAAGCTCTTGTAGTTCACTAGTTTGATACTACTGATTGCTGATTCTAACATTAATTCACCTGTTCAGGTTAAGTACTAGAATCGTATGGTTCTGTTGTTTTGATACTCGGGTTCGAATTTGGAGGGTGACATGTGAAAAAATAATAAAGTTCAAAACAACTTGAAAGTGGGGAATTATGATTAGCTTTGTCTTTTGGTCCTCATTGCAGAAAAGCTAATTTCTCCAATCTAACTGGAGATTTTTCAATCTTATGCATCAGAAAGTCAAGAACTTGATGTTATTTGTTCAACTGATTGTGGAGGGTAGCTTTGGATGTGATTTGGTCTAATTATGAAGAGAAAAAAAAAGTAGTTAGCCAACGTTTAGAAAATTTGCTCTAATGGGACCGTCGAAATCTATTACCTTCCCCTCTTTTCTTCCTTCTCTCATAGAAAGTGTCAAGACTTTGAATTGCCATGGAGGGATTTTTTTTCCTTCTCTCACAGTTAAACCGAATATAGCGCGGGTTTGGTTCGATTTGGTTCAATGTCACCTTACCCTACCATGGTGTTACCATATCCAGCATTTATTTGGGTTGGTTGCTTAGTCCTGGTATGATGATTTTTCAGGGTAGTGCAAATAACTATCTAGTTCATTCCTGGGATTCCATCCATAGCCAACTACTTGTTAATCAATGTGTGGTTTTGTGGCCATAGCTTTTCTCCATTATTGAAGTAACTAGAGGACCTTTCAAAATCAAGCAATGAATGTGTTTATGTTCGTGTGACAGATTATGTAATGTGGTGTTTGTGTTTCCAGGCAATGATGGGACCATGGGAGGATTCATTATTGGGCTATCAGTTGGACTTTGTGTCTTCCTCTTATTGCTCAGTGGCTGCCTCGTGTGGAAAAGGAAGAGATTGATTAGTGCTTTCCGGGGCCAGAAGAACGACCACAAAGGTAAAAAAAAAAAAGAGAAGCACAACTTGCTTAAAGATGAAGAGGACCTTTTTATCTTTTCATACATTTGCCAAATCTGATCTTGGAATCTTTGAACTGTTGGTCTTAATGGATGTTATTGTTCAGTGAGAAGATTGGGATTGCCAGAAAGAAGCCAGGATTTCATGTTGAATGACGTCGTGATCTCGAGCAAGAGGGATCATTCGGGCGAGAGGAACGTGGACGAGCTGGAGCTCCCGTTGTACGATTTCGAGACAATGGCGGTTGCCACGGGCAACTTCTCTGACGATAACAAGCTTGGTCAAGGTGGATTTGGTGTTGTATATAAGGTGATCGACCTTTCCTTTTCTTCCTTTTAAGTGAAAGCTCATGAACCTATGGTTCCTAGTATACTGAAAATGTGTGATGCATTTTGAAATGAGCAGGGTCGGTTGTTAGAAGTAGAAGGGCAAGAAGTAGCTGTGAAGAGGCTGTCGAGAAATTCAGGGCAGGGATCGGAGGAGTTCAAGAACGAGGTTAAGCTGATCGCGAAGCTTCAACATAGGAACTTGGTTCGACTCATGGGTTGTTGCATCGAGATGGATGAGAAGATGCTCATATACGAGTACATGGAGAATAGAAGCTTGGACTCCATCATATTCAGTAAGTAGTTTCCATTTTACAATCAAACTGGTTTTCACAATTTGGGTATACATTGTTCTAACATTTATATATGTGTTGCAGGTAAATCAAAGAGCAAGTTACTAAATTGGGAAAGGCGGTTCAATATAATCTGTGGGATTGCCAGAGGACTTCTGTATTTACACCAAGATTCCAGGTTCAGAATCATCCACAGAGATCTCAAGGCAAGCAACATTCTCTTGGATGGAGAGTGGACTCCAAAGATATCCGATTTCGGCATGGCTAGAATCTTTGGCAGCGATCAGACAGAAGCCAACACCAGGAGAGTCGTAGGGACATAGTAAGTACCAAACTTAAACCCTGATTTGCTACTAGCTACCTAGCAAAAAATTCGCGACTAATGTAATTCGTATGGTGTTTGGTGCAGTGGCTACATGTCTCCGGAGTATGCAATGGACGGACTGTTCTCCATCAAATCGGACGTGTTCAGTTTTGGAGTTCTGGTGATCGAGATTGTGACGGGGAAGAAGAATCGAGGGTTCTATAATCCCAACGACGAGCTTAACCTCCTCGGACATGTAAGTATAACGAACTAACTTATTTGATGGAACTAGCTCTGTAGTAATACTTATCTGATTGAAATCATCCACTGTGTTACTCAGTGCTGGAAGTTGTGGAAAGAAGGCAAAGGGCTGGAACTACTCGACGCAGCAGTTGGTAATGTATACTCGGCCTGTGAAGTTCTGAGGTGCATTCAGGTCGGGCTGTTGTGCGTCCAGGAGCGAGCAGAGGACAGGCCGACGATGGGATCGGTGGTTCTGATGCTCAACAGTGAGACAGCTACAATGCCTCAGCCTAGAACACCAGGGTTTTGTGTTGGGAGGAGCCCTCTGGAAACTGACTCGTCGTCTGGGAAACAAGACGTGACTTTTACTGTTAACCAGGTTACATGTACCATGCTAGATGCTCGGTGAAAAAAGGGAAGAAAGAAAGGAAATTTAACTGGATTGGTATAAGTCTTCATGTTCAAGATGTTAATGTTAGGCTTCTGAGAATAGAGGATTCAGATTTCAGATCATCTCTGGTAATTCATGGCGAAAATGTTGGTCCTTGTTGCTCAACGATTTTGATGAAGGCGTATTCATCCATGGGTGCAACAAGTTAGGATGGAGGGATGAGAAACGCTTGCTTGGCAGGCAGCTTGGCATGACCCTTAGAGTAATCTGTAAATCTCATATAAAGTTTGTTTTTCCTTCTTTTTTTAGAAGGAAACTTTGGAAGGATTTATAATTTTTGTTGTTGTTTCGATTGTGAAAGGGAAAAATTGTATATGGGTTTTGGTCTTTTGGGTTTTTATTCTTTTGGTTTGGAGGGATGAAGATTTGTTGTTTCATGGAAGCAGTTTGGTGTCATTGTGTAACTTACTGACGGGTTAAGCACTTCCACGGATGAGGAACCTACAAAGTTCACACCATCAATCAAAAACATTTAGAAGATAGGAGCAAAATGCAAGAATAAACCTAGTACCACGTTCAATACAAACCACAACAACGACAAAAGTTCTTGATATAACCTTAATTAACGTCATCCGCACGTACAAAGACTTAAGAACAATTTTGCTAATGTAACATTAACACCATTTATCACACATATAATTGTTCAATCATCCCTAATTATTATTCATGTCCTCCAATGAAGATGAAAAATTCATACAAATTTACGTCAATTTGTCAATATATATAAGCACTCAAATTTATCGTTTATACATTATACATAACTCATACATGATACATAATTCAATGTTGAAACTCAAAATATTGGGATCATACCCTTGATACTCATCTCACCGAATATATATCATCATCAATAGTGAAATAAACCAAATCAACACTCTCTCTCAAAATCACCGGAAAAACACAAACCTTGTAATTATTGTTCATGATTACTAATTTGAATTAAATAAATAAATGTTACCTGTCAAAGTAAATAGTTTCGAATTATACAAAACCCTATTCCCCTGCCGTAGCACCATCGTGGTCGCAACCACAATAGCCTTCCCCAGCATCTGATTATTTTTCAGCCCCCATTTAATCGCATTTCCTTCCTCCCCTGCCTCTGTCTATGCATCCTTGAGAGTCATCATATCTCTGTAATCGATCATCGAATTATCGGCTGAATATGAGAGAGGCTCTGTCGGCTCGCCCTTTGCCGCTTCGTCGTCCGGTCGTTCCGCACTCGCTGTTGTGGCCGCCAACTTCCGCCTCGATGGCGAATCATTTTGAACCCCTCGGCGACATCGCTCTCAGATATTGAAGGTTGGAAGAAGTGGTAGTTCTAATCGGAATAAGGCTTGTTGACGTGGCTACTTCCATGTTTTAGTGCGTATAATGTGAGGTTAAATATGAAAGTCTTTTAAAATTTTTAAAGATAAAGATTAAGAAAATGAAAAAGACCCCAAAAGTTGCGGGGAGAAGTTCACTGAGAAAGCCCTTAATAGTATTTAGAGAAGATTTGTAGATTAAAAAAAAAAACATTCCCTTACGAGGTTTCAAGGTCATATAAAACAGTATTATTCTTTAAGTGAAAACCCTAACCTAAGGGGACGAGCACTGAACGCCTAATCTTTCACAAACAATACCCCCAATCCACTGAAAACAGAACCCCTAGCAATCCCAAATACAACCCTACATCCTCCAACAAGAAACCACGCAATTGAAATAATCCAACCAAGAATCGAATGAAAACACCAATCTTACTTGCATTGAAGAAGCAGGCCAGAGATTGGCGTCAGGCACGACCACAACATCAGGCTCGGTAACAGGGACATCATCCCCCTTCTCTTTAGTTATGTGTGCAAAACTCACATGGAGGTCGAGCCTCTCCGAGGTAGTCCAATGAGCGGCGAAAGGGCGGAAGTAAGCGCACGCATCGCACTCATCGGCAGGAAGGCCACACACCACGAGTAGGGGAGTGTGGGGGGTCCTGGTTGTGTGCCATCGATTTTCACAAAGGAAATGAGAAGTGGAAGAGGAAAGGGGGATTACTGCTTTGCTCTACTCTACTCCCGCTACTCTATCTCAATAGTGGCGGAACACGGCGGATCCAAAATTTCTCCAATTGCTATATTCTGTTACGCTTTTCTTCCCTCTTTTGATATACTCTTTTGTTGCTCAATTACTCTTTTGCCCCCATCTGCTGCCGTGCTAAAGAAGATTTTTTTGGTTAACCGAGAATGTGTTGGAACCCCTCACAAGGGCAGTGCTTGCCCTTCATCGACCTTGGGAAGTCCGTTTTCACCTAAGGAACCTTATAATAGTGCATTAGTTGTTCTATTTAATTCAGCAGAGAAAATGATGAGTAGTTAACTTACTAAATTTCTATTTATTCATTGATGTACTAATTGTTGTATCAAGTATTTTTTAATGGCAACCTACACGCTGCGTTTATTGTGAATCTTTGTTTTGTTTTTATCCCTTTACTACCTGGCTCCTTTTTAATTCTAATTCCAAAGCCTTTAGGGGTCGTGTGGAAGGTAGAATTCTAAATGAGTGATTCTATGAATGTGTGTATTCTTTACAATCCATTATTATTTTGACATAAACTTGTAAAGCATACATGTATTAAAATCAAACTTTAGAATCTCAAATGTTTACAATAATTCATTTTAGAATCTTTACAAAAAGGTGAGGTTCTCTCAATTTACTTTTGTAATTGATTTTTTTTTCACTCTTATCCTTATTCTTTTTTTATATATTTCATATTTGTCCCTCTTTTAATGATTATATGAAGAAAACTTTAAAGTTACATAAGTCTTTTAGGTAATTAAAGAGAGAATCCTTATATTCTTCAAAAGTAAGAATCACAACTAGCAAACAAAATATTTTTACAATCATCTATTTCTTACAATCACTACACTTAGAATACATATATTGCAAGAATACACACACTCGTCGGCAGGAAGACCACACACCACGAGTAGGAGAGTGTGGGGGGTCCTAGATGTCTGCCTTCGATTTCCACAAAGGAAATGAGAAGTGGAAGAGGAAAGGGGGATTACTGCTTTGCTCTACTCTACTCTCGCTACTCTATCTCAACAGTGGCGGAACTCGGCGAATCCAAAATTTCTCCAGTTGCTATTTTCTGTTACGCTTTTCTTCCCTCTTTTGATATACACTTTTGTTGCTCAATTACTCTTTTGCCCTCATCCGTTTTCGTGCTAAGGAAGATTTTTTTGGTTAATCGAGAATGTGTTGGGAACCCCTCATAAGGGCAGTGCCTGTCCTTCATCGGCTTTGGGGAGTCCGTTTTCACCTAAGGAACCTTATAATAGTGCATTAGTTGTTCTAATTAATTCAGAAAAAAAAAATGGTGAGTAGTTAACTTACTAAACCTCTATTTATTAATTGATGTACTAATTGTTGTATCAAGTATTTTTTTAATGACAGCCTTCACGCTACGTTTATTGTGGATTTTTGTTTTGTTTTTAGGCTTTTTACTACCTAGCCCCTTTTTAATTATAATTCCAAAGCCTTTAGGGGTCGTGTGGAAGGTTGAATTCTAAATGAGTGATTCTATGAATGTGTGTATTCTTTACAATTCATTTTTTTTTTTACATAAACTTGTCCAACATACATGTATTAAAATCAAACTTTAGAATCTCAAATGTTTACAATCATTCATTTTAGAATCTCTACAAAAAGGTGAGGTTCTCTCACTTTACTTTTGTAATTGATTATTTTGCACTCTTATCCTTATTTTTTTTTATATATTTCATATTTGTCCCTCTTTTAATGACTATATTAAGAGAACTTTAAAGTTATATAAGTCTTTTAGGTAATTAAAGTGAGAATCTTTATATTCTTCAAAAGTAAGAATCACAACTAGCAAACAAAATATTTTTACTATCATCTATTTCTTACAATCACTACACTTAAAATACATATATTGCAAGAATACACGCATTGTCCAGAACTTCAATGTTAATTCACACGCTGCATTTTCTGTGGCATTCTTTTTAGTTTTCCAGCCTTTAGTTTTCAGGTCTTCCTATATCACACTTTGGCCAGCATTTGGATTACCTCAAATTTTAACTTTTAAGGAAGATAAAAGAAGCAAAGCAATTTGATCACCTCAATTTTTAATTTCATTTTCTTTCTCATACGTGGGAATGCGTACGATCAATGACGGATCTGATTGATTTCTGATCATGAATACATTTTTTCTCAATTAAATTTGATGGATTATATATCTTCAATTTAATTCGAAATTGAAACTTTTTATAGAAAAATCATACTAATTATAACTATCAAATTTCAATCATTTTAATATGTTTGAAAAAAAAATGCAATATATTAATTAATTATTAATATATAAAAGTTTAACATTGTAGTTACTTTTCATAGTAACTCCCAAATTCTTACAAGTGAAAGTGGGGAAGTTTCAAGTTGTTTTTTTTACCTCATTCTCTCATTCTATAACCTATGTGTTCATCTATTATTCGTTGGGTCTACATCTATTAGCCATTAGATTTCCCAAAATAGTTATTGTCTATTTAAATTTTCATCTATTGTTCATTGTTTTTCCTATTGTAGCAATTATCAATTATGTTTTCGTCTATGATCTTTTACCCAAATCATCGTCTTTGCCTACAGTTGGTTGCTGATAAATATGATAATGTTGGATTGCTCTGATGTTAATAATCACTTCAGTGCTTCAAACTCATGCTTGAATGTGTACGAGCCTACTATGGGGTGATCACAGAAGTTTACGCCTCTCCAAGGTAGTGAGGCGCGCGATGCAGAACTCGCAGGGAAAAGGTCGGAAATACGCACACGCGTCACACTCATCCGGAAGGAAAGCTACACACCAGCGACAGGGGAGATTCCGCGGGTTGTCCGCCATCGTTCTTCAGAAAGGAGGGAATGAGAAGTGGAAGACGACGAACAAGCTCTACTCTCACTTATCTCTCTCAATGGCGGAAACTCGCGAATTTTGGATTTCTGCTATTTTCTGTTACGGCTTTCTACTTTTCATTTTCTTACCCTCCTCAATTACTATTTTGCCCTCCGCTGCCGTGCTAAACAAGTTTCTTTGGTTATCTCTTGCCCCATCCGCTGCGATAAACATTTTTTATTTATTTGTTTATTAATTTATTCAAATGAGTGCAACTACCCGAAATTGATCATTCATAAGGGCATAGCCTTTTCAAAGAAAGTCACACGCACATACCCAATATGAGTAGTCTCATCGAGTAAAACAATGTTATGGTAATTTCTTTATAAAAAAGAGGATAATACCTTAAATTATTCCGAATTATATATTAATAGATTAATTTACCACGTAATCTTTAAAATACTCTGTCCTAAAATATTCACCATGCAGACCAATTTGGCCGAACTCGTGGGTTGATGATCAAATTGAAATACTCTGGCCTAAAATATTCACTATATAGACTAATTTGTTCCGAGTTTAGACATTATAGCGAATAGTGAATTTCTCACGAATTTAAATAATATGTAACAAAAAGTCAAATTATTTTTCCTAAAATTTCTATAATTTTCTCTGCTTGTCCATGTGCTCATCTGCGGGTTGCATTTCTTTCTTTCCTTTTTCCCCCTTCCCATTCATCTTTTCTAGTGTTTTGTTTCCCAACTCTCACCATCAAAATACAATACAATCAGCCTTTCCCCAAACACCATAACAAAAGAAACCCTTTCCTCAAGCATCCCCCAGCTTAAGTAACGGGCATTCAAACAAAAGAAAGCTACCCATTTAAATTTTAAACCAAAAATGGCTATCAAAGTTATTTCATAGGCAAACAAGAAAAACAACATCGTCCCTATCTAAAACCTTACTACTCATTACTCAATGTAGTATAAAACACTAACCAATCAGTAAGAAGAATGAACTGTAACGTGGGCAAGCCAACTTTGCACCAAAACAAAGCAACAGGAGAAGCAAGTCAACCAATCCAGATTTATCCTCTTTTAACTTTTCTAAAATCATGTTTTCATCCTAAAGAACGTTTAAGCTTCTATTTAGATTCAATTATTTCTATTATGTTTCTTATTCATTTGTGAAATATTTCTCTGTGTCTTCTAATAATAGAGTTAAATATCATTGTTCTTTTTGAAAATAATATATAAGAATGGGCCGGCTCATACCCGCATAAATATTACCTGATCTTATCCGCTCTTAGTGCGAAGCGAGTATGGCTATTGAGGTACCTGCCCCGTCACCATCACCTGATCAAAGCAAGTTAGCGAATCCAAATTTATACTCTTTTGTTTTTTTAGAGAAACGTCTGCTTTTACAAAAAATATTGAGATCCCACAGGTACTACAACCCCATAAAAGTCTCTCAAATATTTTATTTAGGATTATGTAAGTTCATGCTCTCCTTATATGACTATTTTCACTTTTCATTCTCATCTACTCCGTAACAACAACACTTACAATAAGATTGTTAATCGCTTTATAGATTGTCATTTCATATTATCTACCTCTAACGGTGTTTAATCCTCTAATCATCACGACCTCACACCAAGAGCATTCTTTAACCAAACCAAGCAGTTTCATTGTAGTGCGAATGAGTGTACCACTACTACTCAGAAGGAAATGCATATTAATGATCTAAACTATACAACATTGGCGCCAAAACTATTATTACCGAGATAACATACCAGAATGCAAACAAATTACAATTTTTGGTTCCCACCAAAAAGAAATCAAGTTCATGAAGTCGTATCATGTCACACCCCTGTCTCGTGTATTACTTAATATGTCAAACCTTATATCTTCTAAGAAGCTTTAGATGGATAGATAGATAGATAGATAGATAGATAGATAGATAGATAGATAGAGATTCGAGTATTTAGATCTAAATTATGCATGTAATAATTACACAAGTCTGATACAGAAAAATTAGGAAAGAAAACATACTAAAGTATATAAAAGGATTGTATTATTAGTGAGGTCAAATGGAGTAATGTATCACCAAGCAAAATATTAGGCTTCCTTCACTTCAATTCCTACTATCTAAGCTCACCTTTTCATTTGAAAAAAAAATACTGAATAAAAGCCAAACCATGGTTAGCTAGATAACTAAATGCATATGTCAACCCCACTACTTTCATCCATCTTCATCTCCACCGTCACTATTCTATACATATCCCACAAACCCAAAATAAAGGG